GACTCGATAAGTCAGCCGCATAATTTATACTATTGAGTACTTTAAACAATTGATTACTGCGGGCTGACTTATCGAGTTTGTCTGTGTATATACAAAATTAAAAAATATAATTTATTAAAAATATACATTTTTTCCGAATATAGACATTTTTAAATTTTGTTACATCGCTAAAATATAATCTTATTCCTCAACTACTTTCAGTCACCAGTCAAAAAAAAGGTATGCATACTTTTAATATCATTTTAAATGTTCCAATCATTGCAATATCTATTCATTTTATTTATTTTAGGTCGTTAATTAGAATTGGTATATTTGATGGTATAATAGCAGTAAATATAGAAGCAAAAAATTTGATAAAGGAAAAGTTAAAAATTGACATCTTAAGTATAGTAAACAACAAGATATCAGTTGTATGTTAACTTGAATTAGAAAGGCTCGTGATTTGGTATTCAAAAAACATTTATAAAGCTAGCGTAATCAGGGATCATGCCATATTTGATGGTAAATTATAGTGTACGAAAACTTGATTTTTCCCAGAATTTTAAGTGTATCGTATATTTATAAAATTTTATTAACGTTGACAGAAATGATAAAGGAAGCCAAACTTACAAAGACATCGTTTCAAGGCTTTCCCGGAATCACTCCTATTTTATTAATAATCATTAGGAAGCCCTAGTATGGCTCTAAAAATTATTATTATGATTGAAAAAAGTCACTTGTTAAAAGAAAAACAACGAAAAATTTTTTTTGGACAACAAAAAATTTTGTTCGTGTAATGGTTATAATGAATGACACTTGATATGCAATGTCCTGCGGCTGGTAAGAAATTTTCAGAAACTGATTCAAATACTTTTTTTAAAGACAATAGTGGTGATAATGATAATGATAAGTATGGATTTAAGTTTAAAGTGTTGTTATAAAGAAAACTTAATTTATTCGTTACCTTCACCGTATTTAATTTCAGTCCAATCAACAATATGATAATTTCTTTCTTTACAAACGTATTTTATTGTTGATGTTTTTGTGGTGCCAGTCGGGTCACCTATTATCAACATCTTAACACCTTGTAAAATGTTCTATTTATATTTTTTGATGATTTTTTTCAATTAGATAAAAGGTAAATTGTCATTATTATTGTTGTATATTTACATTTTTGTTGACATTTTCAAACATGCCTCATCAACTTATTTTCTTCCCTAAATATTATAGATAAAAGGTAATTAATTAAATTAATTAATCAATCAACAAGTCCATGTCCATATATTAAAAAAAAACTAACCTCGGACAGATCCTCGGAGGCACATTTTTTTAAAAAAAAAAAAACAATTAATATTAAACTAGAGTGACGACAAGTGCCGATAACTACCATTCTTACGATAATCACTTACTCGCGTTGTTCTTTTCCTGTTTCTTTGCTTCTTCTTTGGCAGGCATTTTGAGAAAATTAGTTTTTTTTATTACGCTACTCAAAATTAAGTTCTTGAAAAAACGGGTCTGATTCATTTCGTCGAAAAGTTCATTTCGTCGAAAGTTCATTTCGTCGACAATCATTTCGTCGACAGTTCATTTCTACAACAATTCATGTTAATTTGC